CGAACAGGACGAAAACAGAGCAGCTGAACATCATCAATGGCACCTCCTCCTCCGGCGAACAAGAACTGAAGACCTCCGAAGAAACCAAACCCATAACAGTCCAAAAACCCAACGCCTTCATATCAAAAATCCTCCATCCTCCTGCGAGGGGCGAGGACTTCTCCATCCTCCAAGCCCTGTTCAGCATCGACATGCTAGTCCTCTTCTTCTCCACAATCTGCGGCGTCGGAGGAACCTTAACGGCTATCGACAACATGGGGCAAATCGGTGAATCGTTAGGCTACCCATCTCGCAGCATCAACACCTTCGTCTCCCTGATCAGTATCTGGAACGCCATGGGCAGAGTAGCCGCTGGTTTCATATCAGAAATCCTATTGACAAAATACAGAGTCCCGCGGCCGCTCGTGCTGACCTTCGTTCTTCTTCTAGCCTGCGCCGGCCACCTCCTGATCGCCTTCGGCGTGCCCAACTCGCTCTACCTCGCGTCGGTGATCGTCGGGTTCTGTTTCGGAGCGCAGTGGCCGTTGCTGTTTTCCATTATTTCGGAGTTGTTTGGGCTGAAGTATTACTCCACGCTTTACAATTTTGGAAGCGTGGCGAGTCCGATAGGATCTTATATACTGAATGTGAGGGTGGCGGGGCATTTGTACGATAGGGAGACGGAGAGGCAGAACGGAGGGGGAAAGGAGGGGACTTGCATTGGGGTGAAGTGTTTTCAGCTGTCGTTTTTTATTATTACGGTGGCGACCGTGGTTGGGGCGGTTGTGTCGCTGGTGTTGGCGGTTAGGACGAGAAAGTTTTATAAGGGGGACATATATGCGAGGTTCAGGGAGCAGCCGGCGGCGGAGGACGCCATGAAAAGAGGTTCTTTGGAGGATAAAGTAGGAGTTAGTTGTGAGTTGGAGGTTGCAGTGAGATGATCTCTCTGTCTCTCCGTGCTTAGAAATTGAAATTGAGATTTGTTGCTGCAGGAACAGCGTTGTAGATAAGTTGTTTGCTTACAGGAAAGTAATGATATAATTCAGCAACAGATTAAAAAATAGAACTTGAGCATGGGAACAAAATATTTTGTTTAAAT